CATCTGGGGAACCTTGAGCACTGTTATTTTTCTGTACGTCTCGTTCTGAGACCCTTGCCTCAGGTCCTTGGAGCATTCTCACAAGACCAGATGCCAGATTACACAGGCACGGTCCCACTGCTGGCTCCGACATACATGTGTTTGAATATTTCCTATATTTTCTCTTGCTTTTGAATTCTAGTTTTATTGCACTGTGATCTTATATAATACAGGATGTTATTTCACATTCTTGAATTTGCTAAAACTTGCTTTACATTCTTTGAATAAAAAACATAAATGGGGTGAATTTGATTAAACTATATTTTATGCAAGTTGGAAGTATTACAGTGAAACTCTTGCATAATTAATTCATGCTAAGAAAAAATTTAAAAATAAAATAGACATGATTTATTTGGAGAAGTTCTCTGGACTGCTGAGAAGAAAGTTGGGTGGGAAATTCTGTAGATGTGTTTTAAGTCCATTTGATTTTGTTTGTCTGGATAACTAATATTTATGAGAGTGGGTTATTAAAGTCAACTACTATTATTATGCTGAGACCTAGTTGTGCTTTTATTTCCAGTAGTGTTGTTTCATGAAATTGTGTAGACCAATATCCAGTGTGTATATGTTTATAATTATTATATCCTCTTAAAGGATTGTTCCCTTTATCAGTAGTCTTTTTTTTTTAATCAAGTAGTCTTTTTTTTTATTCATATGTGCATACAATGTTTGGGTCATTTCTCCCCCCCTTTTCCCTGCCCCCCCCTTACCCCCCCAACCCCTTGCTACCAGGCAGAAACTATTTTGCCCTTATCTCTAGTTTTGTTGAAGAGAGAGTATAAGCAATAATAGGAAGGACCAAGGGTTTTTGCTAGTTGAGATAAGGATAGCTATACAGGGAGTTGACTCGCATTGCTTTCCTGTACATATGTGTTACCTTCTAAGTTAATTCTTCTCGAACTAACCTTTTCTCTAGTTCCTGGTCCCCTTCTCCTATTGGCCTCAGTTGCTTTAAAGTATCTGCTTTAGTTTCTCTGCATTGAGGGCAACAAATGCTATCTAGTTTTTTGGGTGTCTTACCTATCCTCATACCTTCCTTGTGTGTTCTCGTATCAAGTAGTCTTTGACTAATTTTGGTTTGGAGTTTGCTTTGGCAGTTATGAGTATAACTATTCCTGCTTGTTTTGGGACTTCATTTTCTTGGAAAATCTTATCCGTTTTTTTCACTTTAAGACTAGGTTGATCTTCTACAGTGAGGTGCATTTCTGCAGGCAAGAAATGGTTGAGTCTTGTTTTTTAATCCAATCCACCAATCTGTCTTTTGATTGGAGAATTGAGACCATTAACATTCAGAGTTAATATTGGAAGGTATGGTAAATCTTGCCATTTTGTTATTTTTGTAGTGTTTGAGTTCTCCCACTCTTCATTTGCCTACTTACTTGTCTAGTGAGGCTTATTCTTTCCCATATTTTCATGTTACATTTATCTTGTTCTTCTGTGAATAGGATCTCTTTAAGTAGCTTCCATAGTGGTCATGAATTCCTTTTGTTTTTGAATATCATGGAAGGATTTTATTTCTCCTTCAGTTGTGAAGGATAGCTTTGCTGGGTATGGTAATCTGTTTTTTTTTTTTTCTTTCAGTTCTTGAAATACATCATTCCATACCCTCCATGCTTTTCAAGTTTCTTTTGAGAAATTTGCTGTTAGTCTGATGGATTTTCTTTTATATGTTACTTGGCATTTTTCTCTTGTAGCTTTTGGTATTCTTTTATTGTTTTATTTACTTAATGTCTTAACTATAATATGTTTTGAAAAGGTTCTTTGTCTTGTCTGCTATATGTGCATATCTGTCCCTTCCTCATGGTTTGGGAAGTTTTCTGCTATTACTTTATTGAACATGTTTTCTATCTCTTTAGCTTGCCCCATTGTCTTTCTGTGCCCATGATTTGTAGATTCAGTCTTTTCATGGTATTCCAAAGGCCTTGAATGTTCTGCTTTACTTCTTTTTTTCCTCTGTCTTCATCTGCATGTCCTAACAAACATATCTACCTTATCGTCAAGCCCTGAAGTTCTGTCTTCAATTTGATCCAGTCTGCTGGAAAGGTTTTCAACTGAGTTTGTCATTTCAGAATTTCAATTTTTTAAAAGAATACTTTCATTGAATTCCTTTTTCATGTCCTGTATTGTATTTTTATTTTATTCAACTATTTGTGTTCTCTTGGTCTTTATTGGGGCATTTATTTGTGTCCTCTTTAATTTCCCTTATCAATCTTATAATTATCATTTTGAAATCGTTGCAATTTCATCTACTTCACTATCTTTAGTGTGATATTGTTGAGTTTTGAGAGAAGTCATGTTGCCATATTTTTTCATATTTCTTTTGTTTCTGTGTTGGGATTTGCACATCTAAGGCCAAGTCATTGTATGAATATTTTTATGGCCTATAGTTTTTGAATTGAACTATTTTCAGAATTAAGACAGGACTGTGTAATAGCAGGGGTGTGTTAGGGTACTATTTTGCACCACTGGACTGGGGGTATGGTTCAGTAGCCAAGCATTTATTCACCAATGTGCTTAGAGCATAGGACCTGATCCCTAGCACTGCTCAGATTGAGGTAAACTAGCTGGAGTTTCTTGTAGAAGTTGCCCACTTCTGGGCTGCTTTCAGTATAGAAGCTTCCCTCCTTTGTGTACTGAAAGCTTCTCTGGCTGCAGGGAACTTTATGGCCTATGGGCTGAGCCGGTTCCCAATTGCTCAACAAGCCCCCAATTTATATTCCCAGAGACAGCACATATCCACTCATCAGATCTCCAAATGTATTGGAAACTTGGGGGGAGGGCGGCAAACAGAGCAGTGAGTTCTGCCCTCTGGCAGTTTATTTATGCCTTAAGTCTCATGAAGAAATCTATATTATATTGTAGGTAGATATGTAGGTAGGTAGGAAAGTAGGTAGATAGATAGATATGAGCACAGATATACACACACATACACACACACACACACACACACACAAACACACATCTATGTGCCTTTACTGAAAGATGAAATTAGAAACTTAGAGGCACTGTAGGAATAATACTTACTGTTCAATTGAATCTTATATTTGAGCTTCAACAGGATATCTATACATAAAATCCTAACTAATTGGTAAAGGCAAAGGTAACGTGTGTGTGTTGTCCTCCCTATAGCAAACTCATAACTGAATATTGGTTACAGCAAAGGATAAAGGAGAAATAGGAAGACCTTCCAGAAGATCTCTGTTATAAATATTCTTAAATAGAAGAGTGAGAAAGGCTTAGCTCAGAAACATTTAGCCATGGAAGAGACAATGTTTGAAGAAAGCCATACTAATCATGATGTATTCAAAAGAGATATCACTGTAGGTAGTACACGAAATCATGCTGCCCACTATTCTCAAGTGAATTATAGGTTTGCCCATAATAACTGAGAGAGCCTAAGTGTCTTAGGTGGTGCTCCTTTGGGACTTCATTCACTTGTCTATTCCCAGGGTGAAGATTAAAAAGAGCTATCTTTATGCAGAATTTCTGCATATCACAGAATGTCTTGGAGTTTTACTTGCAATATCTAAACTTGACCCACATTGATTTATAATCATGGCCATAGAGTTTTCTAGTTATGTGGTAAAAGTTGGACATTCATTCTTTCTCCCACTGATTTTTTTAGAAATACATGTCTATGTTCAAGCCCCCTTCCTTGGCAAAATGAACTGTTGGAACATTTTGTCCTTGCTTCTTTTATTGCATGTATATGAGCACCATTAAGGTAGGGATTTTTATTTGATATGTTCACTCTTTTACCTACAATGAGTGCTCAAATTTCTATTGAGTGAATGATTCTATGTCACCATTATCTAATTGCAGACCATTTTCATCATCTCAAGGGAAAAATCTATATCCATTATTAGTCACTCTCCATCCCTCTTTCCCTCAGTCTCTGGCAACCACTAATTTATTTTCTCTCTACATAGTTTTGCCCATATTTGGGGTTTGTAACTGACTTCTTTAGTCTTATGTTTTTTCAAGATTTGTCCATGTTGTAGCATGTATCAGTACTTCATTCCTTTGTTTTGTAAATAATCCATTATGTGGATGTGCTGTATTTTGCATATTCACTCGTCAGTTGAAGGACGTATTAGTGGTTTTCATTTTTTGGCTATTGTGAATAATGCTGCTATGAACATACAAGTATAAGTTTTTATGTGGATTTATATTTTTATTTCTCTTGAGTATATAATTAGAAGTGGAATTGTTAGGTAACAAGGTAACTCTTTTACTTTTCAAGGGACTGCTAAGTCATTTTCCAAAGCAGTGGTACCATTTATATTCCCCAGTAATATATGAGGGTTTCAATTTCTCTTTATCCTTGCCAACACTTGTTATCATCTGCCTTCATGGTTATGTCTATCCTAGTACTTGTGACATGGTATCTTATTAGAATTTTGGCCAATGTTCCCCTAGAAAAGACAGGTGTGCCCATGAGGGGAATATGATAGTCTGTGGTGAAGAATAGTGATGCAGTTTGTAACGTTGTAGTGGAGATCCTAGGAGTGTATACAGGAGAGTGAGAACTTAGAAAACACCTAGGGAAAAGAAGTATTAAATAATGTAGTTCATGTTTGTTTTAAGAAAGTCAAAGAATATAGAATATAAAAACACTATGAAGAGTCTTTTAAGTACTTGTCTCTTGTGACCTCCCCCCACCCCAGTGCAATGTTTCTATACCTTTTTAGACTAGCTCTCTCTGGTAGTACTTCCTAGCTGGGTAACAGTGGGAACTCACAAATTCATGAGAAGAGGCAGACCAGTGAATATCTCATCTTACAGAGGATGATGTGAAGGAAGTGCTAAATAAGGAACCACACTTAGGTTCTAGTCTTGGCTTCCTTAAGACCTAGGGCAAGTCCTCTCTAAGTTCTCTTTAATAGGGAAGGTGGAATAACCAAAAGTTCAAACCTCTTCCAACTCTAAACTTTCATGAAGGTTGGCTGTGTCCTTTGCAGGTTGGGCCGACGAAGGAAAACCATGAAGCTTTGCCGAGAGCTCTCTGACTTGGTGGTATACACAAATTCCGTGGCAGCACAGGACATTGTGGATGATGGTAAGTAGAGTTTTTCCTCTGCTCTGGGTAAACCTTCTTGGCCTTTCTTTTCCACTGTTAATTAACTTTTTGTTAACTGGGTCATTTCTGGGACTGTGTAGAGTCCCATTTGAGTGTCAGGAAAATGATTGCAAATCATTGCTGATCTGATTCTGGGTGACATGCTCTGCTGATAACAGCAGTTGTCTGATTGCCTAGAAGTAGACACATTTCCTACAGGGCTGAGGAGAGTTTGTTATTATAAAAGACAAGTGTATCAGGCCCAGGTCTTCCTCCAGTGTTGGAAATGTAGACTCCTGGTCTGGCTTCCTGACCAGGTCACAGATGGTCATGCCGGTGTGAATGACCAGAAGGAAGAATAAATTAGTTGGCTAAAGCAACACCTTGGAAAGCCTCATATTTTCTTATTAAAAGTTTTGACTTTGAGTGAAATAGTTTGTTCCACAGAGGTTTTTTTTAAAAAGGAGCAGAAATTTCAGTAGCATTAACTGTCACTACTTTTCAATTACAAGTTGCCATATTGAGCTGAGAGATTCCAGTCACAACTTTGCTCATCCTTGATTCTCTGCTAGTGGCTCCTTTTGCTTTGTCTTCTGTTTCATCTAGCTACTGAATGCTTATTGAATAACCTACAGTCATGTGTCACTTCAGTCTAGCTTTAATTTCAGTGCAAGCAAATTGTTATTCAGATGCTCCAATTTCCTCAGCACGTTGTTGAGAAAGGAAATGAACGTGGTGAGTCTTACATCCTCACAAACATCCGGGATTCTTCACTCAGATCTCGCTCCCCGTCACAGCCCATATGTGTATCTTTTCCTATGTACAGAAGGATTTCTTCTCCCTTGGTTTTGATTCCTTCTTCAAATGGTGACAATTACACACAATTTAAATTAATTTCATATGTGTGACTATAAGAAACCTTAAGATTCTCAGCATATAAGCAACTCCTTAAAGTAACTGCCTGTAGCTCAAAAATAAACTCAGGGGGTGGATGAATGAAATTAAAGGTGTATTTGTTTTAGAAAATGAAAATTTCCAGTAAGTGCTTTTGAAAACCATAAACCTGTTAGCTTAACAGAAAATAATCTTGAGTGCTGTTAGCTCCTAAATGTTAGCTGCTTTTGTCTTTTTTTAAGCCACAAAATGAACAATAGATAATAAACACATAGCTTATCCTTATGCAAAACTACTCAACTCTGTTAGTGTACCAACTGACATGTGCCTAATGAAAAAGTCTGTCTTTAGGACACCATTACATATTTATGTGGATAGACAAGGGGAAAACAATGACACTGATTACAGTGCTACTCTATCTGAAGCGGACTTGTCGAAAAGACTACACTTTCTCATATCGTGTTCAAGGCTTTGCTAATCAAAATCTACACATAAGTTCAATCTTAGTTTCTTGTCAATAATATTTTTTTTCAAGGAAAAGGACGGTACTAGAGAAACCATCAGGTTAAAAACCATGATCCCCTAATTTCCTTTCCTCCTCCTGTTTTGACCATTCTAAGTTCCAGCTCAGCAGTGTCATTGTGAGTTAGTGGCCAGCTGTTAACACGTAAGATGAATAATAACCCTGAGGCCCACAGGTGCCCGATAGACTGTGTGTTCTAACTACCATGCCCAGTCCACATCACGTTCAAGTCCAGTTGGCTTGGCAAGACTACAGCTCAACTCTTTGTTTTCATGGAGTGTGGTTAGTCTGGATCAGACACCAGCTTGTTAGAGCATAAATGAGAACAAGGCTCGGGGCAAGTTTGGGTCTTTGCCTTGTTGGGTTGGTCTCCTGCAATTCCAGAGGATGTGGGAGTGGTCATTTTGGGGATAGGGTCTGGCAGCATGGTGATGGAGTACAGTGGTTGGGTAGATATGGTGCAGACTGTGGGCTGGGACAAAGTGTGGGTTAAATAGGAAATGCCCAGGGGTTTCCACCGGTGGCCCCAGGGTTGCAGCCTCCTGCCACTGTCCAGGCAGAGTCCTCAGTGTAGGCTTCAGGTACTTTTAAATTTTTCCCCATAGTTTATGAGTGTGGGTATGTGGTTGTTTCTGGAACACATTTTTTTTTTAATATTCTTTGAGCACCTTTTCTCCATTATTATTCCTTTCCTCTAAACAATTTTCATTGGTTCCATAATTCGATTCTTTTCTACTAAATGGTCTTTATTTTCTTGGACCCTGAATGTTATCAATTTGTACATGTGCCTTTTTTTTTTTTTTTTTTTTTTTTTTGGTAGCGGGGGTTTGGACTCAGGACCTTGCATTTGCTAGGCAGGCACTCTACTGCTTGAGCCATGCCCCAGATCTTTTTGCTTTAATTTGTTTTTCATAGAGTCTTGTACTTTTCCCAGGCTAGTCTCAGACCTTGATCTTCCTACCTCAGTCTCCTGTTATTACAGGTGTGTACCACCAGGCCCAGTTATTTTTTGAGATAAGGTCTCACTAAGTTTTTGTGCAGGCTGGCCTTGAACTGCAATCCTATCTTTGCCTCCTGAGTTGCTGGGATTACAGGTATATACCACCGTGCTAGGCCCTACACATGTGCCTTTTAAATAAATGTTTTCCTGTTATCCTGAGTCATGCGCCTCGAAAATAATTTTTCTCCCTGCTCTTTTCCTGCTAAATAAATAGATGTGAATTAATGGAATGATTAAGTTCTGGGGAGAATATGGGACCCCAAATTGGCAGGTAACTTAGCAAATGCCTTCAACTTGGCAAAAGAGGCCTAAGAATGGAATTTTATGGGTGTTTGTTGGTCAGGATTGTCTCTACTGTGGTTTGCTAAATTGAATTGAGTTTGGTCTAAAACTGTCTTCATACCTGTATTATGTTTGGTCTAAAGGTTTCTCTATCCACAGTGAACTGCAGCCTAACATGATGTGTGAATAGAGTGTAACCTAATGTTTTGACAAGTGACTGAGTCTTGGCTGATCACCAGTGGCCAACTACCCAAGCCATGTTCAGATAATGCAGACACCAGCTGTCACCAACTGGCCTCACACTACCTCGGTTTCCCTTTTTTTTTTTAATTTCTTTTTCTTTGATTACAAACATAACCTGCCTGCTTGGTGGGCGGGAGTCTCTCTGAACCTGTTCTGAATCTGAGGGAGACTGATTTGTGAGTCATTCCTTGCTCAGTTAACTCTTGAATTTACCATGTTTAAAGTTCTTCATTTTCCTGGCACACTCTGATCTGATGCAGTCTTTTGCAGTGGTGTTTCCCTTGCTGTAGTTCTCACTCTCTTTATTAAATTCTGCCAGGAACCACAGGAAATGTGTTATCCTTCAGTGAAACAAGAGCACACCAGGTGGTGCAGCAGAAATCAGAGCAATTCATGATCTACAACCAGAAGCAGCTCACGAGGATTTACCCCTCTGCCTACCGCATCGACTCCAGTAACTTCAACCCTCTGCCCTACTGGAATGCAGGCTGCCAGCTGGGTGTGTGGGGTTGAGTTGGGGGGGTCTCAGGTGTTCTGGTTCTCCTTGCCCCCTGCTAACCCTCTCAAACTTTCACCTCCCACAGTGGCACTGAACTACCAGTCTGAGGGTCGAGGGATGCAGCTCAACCGAGCCAAGTTCAAGACAAATGGCAACTGTGGCTACGTGCTCAAACCCCAGCAAATGTGCAAAGGTGAGCATCAGCTTCACAGCCCCGCCTTGGAATGCACGGGAACTCCCTCAACTTTTTTATTTTCGTCGCCATTTAGTAATTATATGTATATATGGGAACAGCATAGCAAGCATGTATACCATGCGATGAGCAGATCAGGGCAACTACATGTCTGTCACATGAGGTATGTGTCATTTCTTTATGTTAGAAATATTCCAACTGCTCTGTACTGTCTACGTGGAAATGTGTATTTAGTTGTTGTCAACCGTGGTCATGATATGGTGCTGGTATTGGACATTAGAAAAGCTGAATAATATTCCACTATGTACGTATATCACATTTTCTTTAGTCATTCATCTGTCGGTAGACACCTAAGTTGATTCCATGTCTTGCCTGTTGTCAAGAATGCTACAGTAAACGTGAAAGTGCCGAGGTCTCTTTGACATACTAATTTCAACTCCTTTGTAGATAACCCAGTAGTGGGATTTCTGGATTATATGGTAGTTTTGGGGTTTTTTTTCTTTTTAAAGTTTTTTGAGGAACCTCCATAATGTTTTTCATATGCAAGACAATAAAAAAATATAGGTCATGGAGTGAGGATATAGCTCCATGGTAGAGTAAGGCCCTAGGTTCAATGCCCAGCACTGGAGAAAAGAAAGGATAGGTTAAGGAATTTGGATGTGTCACAGCCACTTGACATTTGGGTATTTGTGACGATGATGTTCACAGTGTTATGTCTTGAATTTGTGTGTGTCAAAAGGGACATGGCTAGTGATGGGTAAGCATCTGAAATCTAGAGCTCCTGCACGATACTCATTGGTCATAATGTATAAATTGAGCTGCTTTTAACAGCACGCTTATACCCTAAAGTCTGAATCTTATCTTTCTAAAACTATCTTAGGCAGTGTGAGTCTGAGACCAGCTGGCAAAATTAAATTCCACCTGAAACAATTTTATCACGCATACAGTCCAATTACAAAACACCGTTAAGCAAAATGAAATGCTATCGTAATATGAGATCAAACAACGCTTTCTTTTCATTATGCTGATTAAAATTCTCTTTAAATTTTCCGAATTAGATTCCTGACAATTATATAACAAAACGTTGACAGATGTGTCTTCGGGATTTCACATTATGCATATTTTCTTCTCTCCTATTCCCTTCATCCTCAGTCTTCTTCTTGTTTCTTATATTTATTCTCTGCCTTAGATAGCTTAGGTTAGGAAATCATTTGAATCTGATCTCACTCTTCCTCTTCTTATGCTCTTGGCATTCAAACACAGCGTTCTTCGTCCATGCTAAGGCCTCACTCAGATACTTACTTTCAATGGGCTGGTCTCCTGGCCTTGGGAGCACGGATTCTAATGAAAACCATAGCTATGGAAATACCAGCTGGTGTCACCGTCTGGCAAAAGCTATACTGATAGTTATGTGATAATTCCTGTTTTCTAGGAAATACTGTAGCAACCAGCATTTGTTCTTTCTTTAGTTTTACAAGCTTATATTTTACCTGTGAGAGTGTGTGTGTGTGTGCGCATTTGGGGGGGGTGTTTTCCCTTGTTACCAACCTCTATTTTACTTGGCCTAGGTACTTTCAACCCTTTCTCTGGTGATCCACTTCCTGCCAACCCCAAAAAGCAGCTCATCCTGAAAGTGATCAGTGGACAACAACTCCCCAAACCTCCAGACTCCATGTTTGGAGACCGGGGCGAGGTAAGCTGCCTGTTACTGTAAGTGGCTACAGTGTTAACTGAGATTGTGTTTAAGTCTCACTTGCAATGTCTTCAGGGTGTTTGGGAATGAGCTCTGACCTCAGATATCAGACACTGAGATTTCCTGACAAGCCACCCACAGCTCCTGCTGGACAGCATGCATCACCTGAGGGAGGCTCAGTTCACAACTCAAGATTGACACTGGCACTGCTAAAACTGGGGTGCAAAGAACAATTCCATTATTGATGCAAACATTGCCCAAGACTGTCCTCAACTCATGTCCACATTCCACACCTCCAGCCCTACATCACTTCTGCATGTCAGCTCCATGTTCCTTGGCCACTTACTGATTCTTGTCATCCTCTGTGGCAGGATTTTCAAATGTCTGCCCAGTGATCACAGCCCGTTCTTCCCTGAACCTTTGCACCATGGTTTCTGTTACATTCCATCCTGGCCTCGTTGGCCAGCTTTCTCCCCACCTGCCAGCCCTTCCTGTGCATGGTCCCGCCTCTCAGGAATGACCTGTCACTTCAGGCTATTTTCACTCCCATCTTTCAAACCTTCACTTCTGCATCTTGGTGGAGAGACCCTCCCCGCCACCCTCAAGTTTGACGGTCTGGTCCTGTCTTGAGCTCTTTGTGTCAGGTCTCAAATGACCTGTTGTACTGTGCAGCATTTCAACTGGCACAGTCCACAACTTTATCTTAACCAGCCTTGTCCCTGTCTCCTCAGTGCCTCCTTTCAACCTCTCTATTCTTGTTATCCTCGATAGATGGCACAGTGTCCTGCTTCTAGACGGGACCATGTCTTCCATCAAGTTGCCACCAACCTAGTCCAGGCCACCATCACTCTTGTCAGTTCTGCTGCACAGCCTCCAGTAACTTCCCATCTTTCACTCTCCTTTCAATAGCAGGAATAGTTAATAGCAGTATCAGCAAGTTTATACTTCTTTTCTGGTTTGTCTACAGAAAGGAAGACCCATTTCCCATATTTTCTCTCAAACCCTTCATTTTGAAAACTTTGTACTTCAGAAAAGTTGAGAGACTAGTACAAAGGATTCCCTCAGTTCACTCATCCAATCGTTAACTGTTGTGACACTTGCTTTGCCTCCCCCATCTTGTGTGCATGAGGTCAGTGCCTTTCTTTGAAGTCATCCGAGAGTAAGTTTTTGATATTGTGACATGTGACCCTACCTCAGCACTTCTCTCTTAGGAACAAAGAAAGTCTATAAAACCATAATGTGATCATTACATTTGTGCAATTTAACATTGTTACAAGAATGTCATCCAGTATAAAATCTCTATTAAATTTTCCCTGGTTATCTTGAAATTGCCTTTTTATCTTTTCTCTTCTCTGCCTCTTCCTTTTTTTTTCTTATTCAAAATCCAATTGAGAATTTCACACTGCTTTTAGTTGTCATTCTTTGGTCTTCTGGGATCTGGAACAGTTCCCCAGGCTTCTTGTTTTCTTTTTTGTTTATCAGCTTTTTTGATAGTCCAAGCCAGTTGTTTTCTGAATGTCTGTCACTTTGGACTTACCTTTCTTTATGATTAGAATCAGAATAAACCTAGTGAAGGAATCACACATGACAATGTGTCCTCACTGTGTCCTTAAGAACTTCATGGTGTCAGACTATCCCATGATTGATAAAGGATCTTTCAAATGTTTTTTATCATACAGACATCTCTACTGTTGTGACTAACAGCACATAGTCTGTGTAGTTAAAATAATGTTTTTAATGTCTAGGAAATGTATTTTACAACTAAAACTCTAACCTCATTATTGGGGGATACAAGGTTCTTTATAAGAAGATTTAAACATTTTTTCTTTTTTGGCAGTACTGGGGTTTGAACTCAGGGCCTTTTGCATGCTAGACAGGTGCTCTGCCACTTGAGCCACTCCACTAGCCCATCTTCATGTTTTCCCATCATCCTTCTAGCCTTTATTCCCCGATGTTACCGTCCTCTCAAATTCTATGTTCTCTTCCTTGCCCGAGTTCCTAAAGATACATTTTCTCAGCCTTCCTGACTCTCTTGCTGTTAGACTTTCTCAGGCCAGCTCACTCTCGTTCTTTGTGTTTTTATTTCTTTATTGCTCATCACCCAGAACTTTTATTATAAATGAGTTTTCAGATAATCAAGAAAGCAGGAGCTTTTCCCAGAAGGAGGGATTTTTTAAAAGTTACTTTTCATCTTTTCCACTTTTAACTTTGTATTATAATACACAATCAATTTAGCATCATTAAAGTACACACATCAGACACGGATATCTTGATTGATTTTTATGTCACCGAGATCAAGACAGTGAATACCCAATACCCCCAAGGTGCTCTGACATACCCTCCATGTTAGCATCTGCCCTCCACTAGCCCCTGTCACAACACATCACTTTAGTCTATTGTAGATGTTATGTAAACTGACGCTTAGTCCATGCTTAGTACATCTGGCTTGTTTGACATTATGTCTGTGTTGCAGAACTCCCTTCTCATTTCATTGTCATTAAGTGACTCTCATACAATTTAGACATCCTTCTCATGATGGACATTTTAGTAGTTTCACTGTTTTGACTCTCATGAATACAGGTGACCTGGGCGTTTGTGCATGAGCAAACTCCTCATTCCTGTTGGGTGTGTATCCTGAGCTGAAATTGTAGGTTCATCGGGTAAACTTTGTATAGCATTAGCAGATAGTAGCAGTCAAAGATTTCATATCTTTGGTTTTATTCCTGCTTCTTATATCTGAATCTGCTATGCCTGGTACTGATCTTCTCTCATAGTAAAATTAGTTGTTGAAATGTGAGCATTTTGGCTAATATTCTCCATGTGTGTAGATGTATATCATTTTTAACAATATTTTCTCTTTTTTTATATAGATCATCGATCCCTTTGTTGAAGTTGAAATTATTGGGTTGCCAGTAGACTGTTGTAAAGATCAAACTCGTGTGGTAGATGACAATGGTAAGATGATAACCTATGTCCACTCTTAATGCCAGGTTCTAGAACTAGAATTTGCACTGAAAAAGAAAACTGTGTCTATTTAGGAGAACAACAAATCATCTCAATTCCATAATACCATCTCAGTTTAAGTTAAGATCTTTTCAACACATAAACTAAGCAGCTGCATGGTGTATTTTGATGTTGTCAACACCCTAATTCTTTCTAGTGAAAAGACTGAATTGTGTTACAATTTCCATTGTATTCCAGAATTCTCATTGGTACAGCCCGTGTGTCTGGTTAATGTTTCATCATCTCCTTTTATTAATGTATTTTTGATCATGTGAAACTCTAAAGATAAACGCAGCATGCTCTGGCAGGTTTGCTTCTCGGAGATGTTCGTGTGGTGGATGGGCAGTGTTCTCCTTAGGATGTGAAGAAAGCTGTCTTTCCCAAAGCTTCACATCTTTTCTTCTTGGTAACCTAAAATTGTATTCATTTGTTCACACATGTGACAAATATTATTGCACACATATTTGCCTCAACCTCTAGTCATTAATACTGTGAAATAATCTTAAATCACAATTAACAAAACATTTAATAAATTAGTGATTCATAGGGAGACATTGAAGTAACACAGGAGTTCAAGAGTGGGGCAGACTTGGAAATAACAGGCTTGAAGAAGGCAGCCTTCCTGTGTTGTATTTTCCTACCAATGCTCAACAAATTATTCTTTCTTTTCTTGGCTGCAGAAGTAACTGAGAGGACATGACGAAGCCAACAAAGAGATAATTTCTTTTGTTCAGGAGGATCTCAGTATTTTTCAGCCTGTCATTGTTTAATTAGCTTGAGGCTTTTTATGGGTCAATGTGGTTGACAAACATTTAATAAAACTTATTTTCATTTTTTAGAAAGGAGAATCAGAAATTTATAGGGTATATGAATTTTTATAATTCATGTTATAATTTATAATTTTGTAATAATTTTATAAACAATTTTTATAATTGTTTTATCTGCGAGAATTTTACCAAGATATAAATGTATTTTTCCCTTTTAGTATTCGTCTTAGTTCTCCATTTCTGTGACAGAATATCTGAAGCTGGGTACCTAATAAAGAAAAGAGTAGCTTATAGCTTTGGAGGCTGGAAGTCCAAACAGCCTGGCACCAGCTCTGGTGAGGCCCCCCCAGCTGGATGTCACCATGATTGTGCAATTTTTAAAAGTTACATATTTTTGAAGGTTAGTGATATATATTTTTTCTTAATTAGAAAAATAAGAACACTGCCAGTCTTTTTTGGCAGTAGTGGGGATTGAACTCAGGGGCCTTGTGCTTGCAAGGCAAAACTATCACTTGAACCACACCCCAAGTCCTTTGTTTTTAGTTTGTTTTTCACAGAGGTTCTCACACTAATTTTACCCAGGCCAGACTTGAACATACGGTCATCCTGTCTTCCTTCTTAAAAGATCGGTCTAAGAATTAAATAGGATGATACATGTGCAACAGTGTGGAAACCTGCAAAATACCTTACGAAATGGTTGGCGGTTATTACAACAGCAGAAATTTGGTGGGTGAGAAGTACCATTCCATTAGGGGAGTAACATTCTTTATTGCTTTTCCTAAAATGCTCTCTGTCTTTTATTGCAGTTCTGGGAATTGAACTCAGCGCTACTAGCATGCTGTTAGATCATGACTATTGATAAGTTTTGAACTTACTGCAGCATTGTAACTATTAAAGAGCCTCCTCTAGAATCCAGTTGGGCATCAGAGATTAATAGAACTGATGTGATCATTTACAGGCAATTTCCTGGCAGATTATTTTGCAGCAGTGGGGTGAGTTCTGAGGCTTTATTTCAGCACAGCATCCTGAGTGGCTCAGTCGTCTTCCTGAGTGTAATAACCGTCACAGGCGATTTTCATGGTCTGCTTTACGGCTGCAAAGCAGTTAAGCCCTCTGCTTTTCTCATTTTTCTTTTCCTGTTTCTCTGAGGATTTAACCCTGTGTGGGAAGAAACTCTGACTTTTACAGTCCATATGCCTGAAATAGCTTTGGTTCGGTTCCTTGTGTGGGATCATGACCCTATTGGACGAGACTTCGTTGGACAAAGAACTGTAACTTTTAGCAGCTTAGTGCCTGGTAAGCATGCACTGGCCTTTACTCTCCAGACCCATTCTTCACTACTCCCTTTTTTATTTTGTTTTTTAATTTTTTAATTTTGTTTATTTGTCGTGGGTGCTGGGGATTGAGCCCAGGGCCTCGCACATGCTGGCTGTCCCCCTTTTTTTGGAAATGTTAATATGTGTCATATGACATAGGCTTTATCCTATATGCTGTGTAGATTCTGTCATATGATACGTGTGACTGCTGATGTGCTTTATAAGGCGTAAAGAACTCTCATCCATCCAGATACTTAATTCTGGTGCTTCCACAAGAAAGCCAAAGGTGAGTTGAACTAAAAGGAAACAACTTTCTTTGCTTTTGTCAGGCTACCGGCATGTCTATTTGGAAGGACTCACAGAAGCATCCATTTTTGTCCACATAACCATCAATGAGATCTACGGAAAGGTGAGAAGGATGCTAGGTCTTAAAGCCGCGTACGATAGTAACTGCTATTCAACACAGTCCTGACTGGCTAATCGCACGGAAGGAATGTACGTTGTGACAAGCTGTTCTTTAATGGAAATCTGCAGGGAAGCCCATCATGTCCCACCTACCTATGTCCTTTCCTTGCTTTGGGGTGGGTGCTCATTCATTTCTTCCACCCAGGGGTTCTCTCTGGGCTTAATCGAATCAAGAAAAACTATCATACTTTCAAGTGATCACTTATTTGGCTAAAACAATGAAGATACAGTTACACATTGGGTTTTATTGTAATCCTGAAAAAGACCCAGTTGGCTACAGTGGTAACTGTTCTATCTCAGATGTTTGATGAATTACCTATAGAAACAGAGCTGAGATCCCAGCTAGTTCTAGGTGGTAAAGATTTGCTTGGCAATACCGTTAGCTGAAAACCTAAGAATTATGAGGCAATTCAAAACTACCCACAGTGTTTGAGAGAGAGAGAGAGAGAGAACAGAAATGTGTTCTTATTCTCCTGCTACTGCTCTCTTCATTGTGGAACTGACTTGAGGTGTACACACCAACAGGCAGTCTTCTGGTTGTGCCAAGTGATGGATATTTGGCCCCTGTTAGGAATTTTCAGGACCAGATGTGATGTGGAGGGCCTAGCCAGTGTTGCTTCTGACCAGAATGTCTGTAGCCCGTGGCTTCTCTTCCAGAGCAAATGTGCAGGAAGCCTTGGTTTCCTCGTGCAAATGTGAGGTAAACATGCTCACATTTTATGTACGTATAAATACGTAAATGTATGCTACCCTTAGAAAGCTGTCTGGTGTGGAGTAAATACTGGAAGATGTTGGCTGATTATTAATATGACTGTGATTACAGTGCAGTTGGGGATTGGAGTAGGGGTGTATTTATCCTCACATCTGTCCGCAGAAGATAGCTGAGGAGCTTTATTTAAAAAAATGATGAAGTTTAGACCATAGCTTTCTATGCTTAATCCTGAGTTTCTGAGTATGCTGCTTGCTGGCATCTTCCTCCTGGCCTACATAGACACAAATGTAAATGATCTTAAAAATGATTCTTGAATTCTAGAAATCTCAAGGTAAATATGCAATGTCTCTAGTACTTATCATGGTGAAGGAAAATGATAAAATTCAGATTTTGTTGAAAACTTGATCCAGAAATAAATTAAAATGTGAAAAAGAGTTCTGTAGGGCTTTAGTTCTGGCTCTAAATAAATGTCCATGTTTTAGTCATTTATTCTTTCTGAGGTGAGTTCAGCACAGAGGGGTACTATTGAATTGAACAACCAGTGAACATAAGACTAAAAGTCACCACAGCTGGGAGAAAGGGTTTCTAGAAGGCTGTGAGTCTTTCTTTTGTGTTTACTGATACCACCTTCTCAAATGGGTCCAAACTGTGTTTTGTTTTCTCCCTTGCAGTGGAGCCCTTTAATCCTCAACCCCAGTTATACCATATTGCACCTTCTAGGAGCTACCAAGGTAGTTTGTCAGCATGGTGCTCTCTCCTTGCTGGCATCTTCTTTTTACGTGGCTATGGCGGCATGCTTGTCATATCACCCCATCTTCCTGCTTCCCACTTTGAAACACACATCTGTTGCTTAAAGGGAGCTGAAGTTTATGACAGTCTGTTAACTATGGGAACTTTTCCTACCACCCTGTTGTCTCTGGTAGGAAACTTCTGGAAAAGGCTGGACATGAACATGGCTGCCTTCTCACAAATGAGATTGAAAAGAAGTGCATGCCGTTGTGAAAGTAGCTGTGAGCTGCTGTTTTTTTGGTTTAGATCCACTTCAATGGCTGTGAATTTCCATTTTGTACTCATTTTTCATGGAGCTGTCATTTCAAAGGCAAGTTGTTGATATGTTGACACGTACTTAATTTGTGGTTGGTCCTTTTGTATCTTCAGAACAGACAGCTCCAAGGTCTGAAGGGACTGTTCAATAAGAATCCCAGGCACAGTTCTTCTGAAAACAATTCCCATTATATTCGGAAACGATCAATTGGAGATAGAATTTTGCGTCGGACGGCCAGTGCTCCAGCAAAAGGCAGAAAGAAGAGCAAAGTGGGCTTCCAAGAAATGGTGGAGATAAAGGATTCTGTGTCTGAGGCCTCAAGAGATCAAGATGGCGTCTTGAGGAGGACCACACGGAGTTTGCAAGTACGCCCTGTCTCTATGCCCGTGGACAAAAGCCTGCTGGGGGCTTTGTCACTGCCTGTATCTGAAACAGCAAAAGACATTGAAGGAAGAGAGAGCCCTCTGGGTAAGATGCTTAATGCTTTCCTGAGCTGCACTTCGGTCCCTTGTTTCCATTATCACGTAGTTAGCATTCTACAATCAAAGTGAAGTATGCTGAAAAATAAATAATTTTTCTGTTATCTTCTAGACCAGACTTCAAACTTTAGGTAGGAGAGGAATACAGGAGCTATTTCCTCCTCACCCAGAGCCTTGAAATAATATTTTCGTCTGGTACTGACAGGGAGGGGTGGGGAGCCTGGAGCACACAGGTTGGGAGGCAGGTTAGAGGGAGGTAATACCTGCAGAGCATAAGTACAAATACTGATTTTCCAAGTAGTACCATATTCACGGGTTGTTCTGAGTTTTCTGAAGTTGAATGTGGCTATATTTCCCACCCCCTCCCCAACACCATAAAACACATTTCCATGGCTGGAATTTTTTTTTTTTTAGTGGTTTTAGGGTTTGAACTCAGAGTTTTACACTTGCTAGGCAAGTCCTGTACCACCTGAATTAAACTTCAAGCCCAATAGTTGGGAATGCTTATGGGGAAAGAAAACAAGCAAGCCACCTCCTTCATTTGAAAAATCCTTGCTTCCTCACGACATGGTCGAGGCCATGTTTTCCTATGATCTCACTTCGCTGGTCTGTGGTTCTGCCTGGTTGCACACAGAACCTTGCTGGTTCTGTAAGCACAGGGATCAGGCCTTCATTTAGAATGTGTCACAGATTCCGTGGTGACATTTTTGCAAGGTGACATGGAGCTCTTGATGTGTGTCTGTGACTGCCCGTCCTATTCTAGGTAATTTAAGTCCCAAAATTATATCCATTTGAAGTCTAGAGCAAATATGTTTTAATTAAGTCAGAATCACCTCAAATGAGTAGAATACTATCCCTAATTCCTTTAGCGAAATTATTATTTGATCAAAGAAGTTTTAAATTTTGCTGAGAGCAATGTCAGCGAAGAGAAGAAACATACTTTAAGGTTTAGTCTTAAAACCTATCTTTTGGGAAATAAAGCTATATTCAAAAGAAATTGGTAATAATCCTGAAGATGTGAATAACATTAAAGTGAGTTAGAATTATATATATAAAACTTATGGCAAATATGGAGCAATAATTAATCACAAAAGATTCATGTTATGTCGCAGAAAAAAAGTGAGTGGAGAGAAAGCAGAATACAAAATTTTAAGCCTTATTCTGTCCTTCTGTGAAAATGGGTTTCTCTGAATGGTGATATAGGATATTTAATTGTTCTCTTTATAATTTGGGGGGCTTAAAATTTTTTTATGATGAAAAACTTTTTCAGTTGGGAAAATAGTAAGTGAAATAAATTCTTCTTTTTTGCATATGATGACTCTGAAAGCATTAGAAGACTGTTCAAATAATCTGATCAAGAATAATTGAAAGCCAGGCACATTAGCTCATGCCTGTAATCCCAGCTACTTGTGAGGTGGAGGTAGGAGGATCATGTTCTGAGGCTAGCCTTGGGCAAAAAGCATGAGACCCTATATGAAAAAATAACTAAAGGAAAAAGGGCTACAGGTTTGGCTCAAACTGTAGAGCAACTGCCTAGCAATCACAAATTCCTGAGTTCAAACTCCAGTACTACCACTGAAAGAACGAAAAAATAATTGAATACTTGATATTGTCTTCGCACATATCAACCATGATGTGCTCTCCCAAATTACTATGAATTGTGTGCTGTTATTGTTTTCCTTATTGTGCCTTTCATCTCATCCTCACTTCTGGGAGTGAATGCATATGAAATTTGTATAATAAATATGAGTAAAGAAATTAGCAGTGACATAGAATTGATCACCAATTTTATATCTTTACATTTTTTAAGTTGACAGATACTGATATTTTAATGCACCTTCTAATTGTTTAGAAGTTAATTGGTTAAATTTAATTTCTTTTGCCAAAATGTCTTTTAAAATGATATTATTTGTGATTTTTTTTTTTTTTACTAATACCTGTATAACTTTGAAAGCTTATAGTATCTTGTTTGTAGGTACCACAATGCTTTGTTTAACAGAGCTGTCTTGTTCTGTTTTTATTGCCATGCTTCTGTGTAGTTCAAATCTGAATAGGAAACAACCTAAGGTAATCCTCACTGTAAAACTACGGGAACTCATTGACATTTTTTGGACAATGAATATTACATCCTTAGCTGATGTAATAGACTTTCAAAGGAAAACTTCAGTGAAATTCTTATAAATATATTTTACCATTTATCCATCATATAGACACTTTGTTGCAAAACTGTGCAATCCATAATTATATTCTGTCACAGTGTAACAGATTTACATTCTCCATTTGTCTGTCTCAAGACAAACATGAGTGTTTGCAGGTCCTATACAAAATGAGGTATGTCAGCTAAAATGTTGTTTGTTTCATTTAGCAGAAGAGAAGGAACACAGAAGAACAGTGAAGCCAAGTATAAATGATCCACAGTTTCCACATTTCAACATAAAGTTGTCCTCATCCTCCAGTGCTCTTCTCCAGAAAGATGGCAGCCAAGTGGACACCACTGTTTCTACTGCCAATGTGTCAATCACAGGAGGACAGACCGGAGTGCCAGGTCCTAAGGGCGGAAGAACCAAATCAAATTTAACAGCTGATTGCCAGGAAAACCACTGTCCCAACAAATCCCTCTCTCCAAGGCAGCATTTGGCTTTTGATCCTGCAGTTAACCGAACACAAGTTCTCTATGGAGTGAAAACCAAGGAAAAGGGGAAAGCTGAGGGCTTTGTGGAAGGGAAAAGCACACTGTCGGAAAGCATCCTTTCTCAAAGTACTCTGGAAATCAAAAACCTGGAATGCAGCAGGGCCAGGGATGGCGCTCCAACATCCTTTTCTCTGTCAGATGTTTCTACACTCTGTTCTGATATACCTGACCTCCATTCAACTGCCATTCTGCAGGACACTGAAATTTCCCGTCTTATTGACAATGTCACTTTCACAAATGAGAATGAGCCAGGCAGTTCCATCTCTGCACTGATTGGCCAGTTTGACGAGACTAACCCTCAGGCAAACCTCACAGTGGTTTCTCATTCTCAGAGCACCAGTACAATGTCAGGTCATCTTCCCTTGCCCACCACGGGCTTAAACTCATCCTTTAAGCTTGGTTTTTCCAAGGGAAAAGCCAAGTCATCCTTCCTGTGCTCATCTCCTGAGCTGATCTCACGCCCAAGTCCTGAGACCACCAAACTTGCAACATACACAATAGTTTGTGAAACAACGAGCACGCCCATCTCAAAAACCAAACCAGAGGATGAACTTCCTGGTAAGACCAAAACAAGGGCCATGGAAGGCCAACAGCCTGGGTCCCCTAATGCTTCTCATGGCTGGCTTGCCAGAAGTCCCACCAGTAGAGAGGACCTAGGAATACTAAGGGGTGGCAGTCCTGCTGTGTCCACTGACTTGACACTGGATTACATAGTAGCTGATCCCACTCTCTATGTGAATTCTGGAGAGAGCAGCCTTGTGGACATTGACGGAGAGTCAGAAACTCTGTCTCTAAGCAACTATGAATATAGGAGAGAGGGCACAACTCAACTTGCTTCTCCTTTAAAACTGAAGTGCAGCCAGGAGATGGTGGAACACTTTCAAAGAGGCTTGAAAAACGGTTACTGTAAAGAGACTCTCCACCCTTCCATCCCTGAAGTATTCAACAATATTCATGGTGTCAAAAATCAAAGTATTTCCTGTCTAACCTATCAGGGTGCTGGCTTTGTGCATAACCGTTTTTCAAATTCAGATGCAAAAATGAACCAAATCTGTGAATCCCAACAGCCTAGTGCTCAAGATATGCATGTTTCTATGGCCAAGCAGTCAACACATGCTCCTCTGCCTGCTTTGAAACTGCCTAGTCCATGCAAATCCAAAAGTCTGGGGGATTTAACCTCCGAGGATATTGCCTGCAATTTTGAAAGCAAGTACCAATGTATTAGTAAAAGTTTTGTGGCAACTGGTGTTCGAGACAAGAAGGGTGTGACTATGAAGACAAAGTCATTAGAGCCTTTAGATGCGCTAACTGAGCAGCTTCGGAAGCTGGTGTCCTTAGACCAAGAAGACAACTGCCAGGTGCTGTGTTCAAAGCAGGATGCTAGTCAGTTTCCCCGGGCACTGGTCAGAAAGCTGTCATCTAGAAGTCAGAGCAGAGTGCGCAATATTGCCAGTCGTGCAAAGGAGAAGCAGGAAGCCAGCAAGCAAAAAGTTGTGAATGCCAGCAGCGGGGGAGCAGTGGTTCTAAGAAACAAAGCCTCAGCACCTGGCTTGACTGTGAACCGCCACTCTACTGGCTCATACATTGCGGGCTATCTGAGGAACACCAAAGGGGGCAGCATGGAGGGGCGCGGCATTCCCGAGGGGGCGTGCACGGCCCTTCGCTATGGCTATGTCGACCAGTTTTGTTCAGATAGTTCAGTTTTGCAGACTGAATCAAGCAATGATGATAAACCAGAAATTTATTTTCTTTTGAGACTGTGAATTATACAAAGCTGAAGTTTCCTTGTTTACAAGTTACTCTGTAGAATGTTTTCAGTTGTCAGGAAATATCCTTGACTTTGAACTGATTTTCAAATGTATTTTTAGACTTGTATTTTGGTCTCCCTTGGACTGCCTGTGTTCTCTCTGCACACGCATTTGTATGTGGAATCTGTGATATTTCCCACACACCTATGATCTTTCTCCCCTGAGCTATTGTAAACTGTATCAGTATGAAACTTGTGCATGACCTAGACGTGAAACGTCTCAGCAGCTTGGGTTACAATGTACTTATGTTTCACAAAGATGCTCTTTACTGTGTCCTCAGATCATGGTCACAAATGCTGTCATTTTTACTCTCTAATTGTTAACAGACTTTACAAATGACAAAGGGATAAATCCTGTATTTGAAGCTGTTGTCAGTTTTCCTTCTAAATTGAGAAACCCGGATGCATTTTTATAATTCAGTAAAAAGAAGTTTAAAACAGTTACCTTTTAAGATTTCCTTACCCCACCCAGAATGAGATGCATAGCTATTCCCCAAGCCCCATCCCCTTTTAGAATAGGCTGTGAGAAAGAAAGCAAACTCGTGTATATAAGGATAAAATTGTTTGTTTTACATAAATTTTGTTACATATTTTTGCTAATGGCTTTGTATGTAACAAGAGCCCAGTTCTGAGATATTTGTCATATTTTTGAATTTTCTGATAAGTTACAGATTACAAATAATGGCTTTCCAAGCAAGAGGCTCCCATAAGAGTAAAAACAATAGTAGCACAAGTGGAAAACTTTCCCAAAGCAGCTAAGAAAAAAAATATTTTCTCATAATCAAATCCAAGCAAATCGATAATTTGAAGAAAACTTTTCCCTTCAGGAAACCAAGCATTATATTTTAGTAGCAACATGCATTATTTTCACTGTGAATCCATTTTTTATTGCATGTTCAGATGTCCCTCTTTACTTTTTTGTAACATTAACTGCAATGGTGTTCTTCCTGGAATTCATGAAAACGTAATTAAAGCAGATTTTTGAACATGTGGTGACTTTCTTAAACAATTGAGTTTCATACAGTGACTGTTGAGGAAGGGACTTGGAGCATTTGGACACATTTTCCTGTCTGTGTTTGCAGCAGAATGGAAAACTTCCAACGCACAAGATAGTTTTAAGCAGCAATCTGAGTGTTTTCATTATGTTTTAAATGGTGAATTTCTAAGGTAACTTGAAAAAACATCAAATGGAAACCAGGAGGGTGGGACACAGATGTAATCCTCATGCTTAAGTTAGCCCAGGCAGCTGGATCTCAAGTTTAAGGTAAGTCTGGGCTATATAGCAAGACCCTGTCTCAACAAAAAAATCAAATGGAATGAGTTTCTTTGCATTTTGTATTGATATTGCAGGCTTAAAAATAATCCTTGTTAAGGGAAGAAGCCCAAATGGTCAAAAAACACATGAAGAAATACTCAGTGTACCTGGCCAGAAAGGAAATGCAAATCAAAACCATGTTAAGATTCCACTTCACTCCTCTTAGAATGGCTACCATCAAGAGCACAAACAACAACAAATGATGCCAGGGATATGGGAGAAAAGGAATCCTCATACACTGCTGGTGGGAATGTAAATTAGTACAACCACTGTGGAAAACAGTATGGAGGCTCCTCAAAAAACTAGAAATAGACCTGCCATACCATCTAGCAGTACCACTCCTTGGTATATACCTGAAGGAATGTGAGTCAGGTTACAACAAAGGCATACACACCCATGTTTATTGCAGCACTATTCGCAATAGCCAAGCTATGGAAACAGCCAAGATGCCCCACTACTGATGAACTGATTAAGAAAATGTGGTATTTATATACAACATAATTTTATTCGGCTATAAAGAAGAATGAAATTTTATCGTTTGCAGGTAAATGGATGGAACTGGAGAACATCATCTTAAGTGAAGTTAGATAGATACATAAGGCCAAAGGCTGCATGTTTTCTTTCATATGTGTATATAGACCTAGTACAAATCCAAGCAGTATTATGAAAAACAGGTCACACTAAGGGATGGTAAAAGAAGGAAGTTAAGGAGGTGAATATGATTGGTATACTTTCCATACAAGAATAAATATAGAATTTTTAAACCTGTTGAAATCACTAAGAAGGGGACTAAAGTAGAAAAGAGAAAAATAGAGGGGATGAACCATGAACCAATTCGAGTTACTATATCTATATCTATATCTATATGAAAATGTCACAGTGAAACTATATATAGAAAATGTATAGCTATTATACAAGTGAAAATGTCTTTTTTAAAAACAGAGATCAGGAAGGTAAAACAGGTCCTGTCTGGAGGTTGGCACCAGTAGGAGGGAGGAGGGTATAAGGAAAGCGTATAGGAGGATGAATATAGTGGAAATACTATGTACTCACGTATGAAAATGGAAAAATGAGACCTGTTGAAACTATTCCAGGAATGGGGGGAGGGAGGATAAAGGAGAATGGTGGAGGGGTGAATTCAACTGTGATATATTGTAAGAACTTTTGTAAATGTCATTATGTATCCCAGTACAACAATAATAATCCTTGCTAGCTGGGCATAGTGGCACATGCCTGCCTGTAATCCCAACTACTCAGGAGGTGGAAGCAGGAGGATCATGAGTTTGAAGACAGCCCAAGCAAATTTAGTGAAATCCTGTATCAATAATCACAATACAAAAAAAAAAAACAAAAAACAGCTGGGTGTGTGGCTTAAGTGGTAGAGCACTATACTAGCAAGCTTGAGGCCCTGGGTTCAATCTCTAATACTGCAAATAAAAAAAAAAATTGTCCTTGGAACTGGCCTGGTGGTTGTAGTGAGTAGGTAGGGGAGCCATGTGGAGAAGGCAGGTGAGATGCTGTGCTTGGCAAATGAGTGTCTGCAGCTGTGTGATGTGGGGGAGAGTGGGGAAAGGAGCAATCAGTCACTGCTCCCTTGGGGGTTGTCTTCTTTTTCCAGGCCATGGAGAGCTGGATGGAGACAGGAATGTCATGGTAAAAGACAGATAATGATCCATTTCTATGCCATAGTCAACCCAGGATCTCTGTCCTCTTTGATTCAGAGCAAGGATACTTTAAAAACAAACCACAACTTGAAGGATCTTTATCTTAGCAGAGACTGACATAATATCACGTTGTTGGAATTAAAATGCTAATAAGTAGACATGAGTGGCTTTTTTCCCTCTTTTTTGTGGGGGCTTGAACTCAGGGCCTCACACTTGCTAGGCAGGTGCTTTACAACTTGAGCCACTTCACCAGCCCTTTTTTGTGTGGAGTGTTTTTGAGATAGGGTTTCATGAACTTTTTGTCCATGCTGGCTTTGAACTGAGATCCTCCTGATCACTGTCTCTTGAGTAACTAGGATTACAGGTGTGAACTACTAGTGCCCAGCCTATGAGCTGCTTTTTATGACTTGATGGAATTTCTGTTTTGAAAAAAGGAAAAGAGAAAAGAAAATAAATCCAGTTTCCACTGTTATGTCAACCCTGCCTCAAAGAGATCTAATCATATCATAAATGGTTAGGCCAAGTGATGGCTTGACAGACCAGTCCATGGGTGTCCATGGGTGTCGGTCACCCATGCACACTATATTGTACTGATAGGGCAAAGGAAAATAAGCAATTTCATGATAATCATTTGGGAATTGCCTTTTAGCAAAAAGCTACAAAACTTAAATTCTAATAAAAGCATGTGGTGCTCAAATTGGACTTAGGATTTCCCTTGTTTGGAGGATGGATAGGGATGCACTCATTCTCAAGGAATTCACACAGGTGAATTCAATGAAGACATCAACATACTTTCTCCAGCTTTTATTTTGAGAGGTAGAGAGTTCAGAGATCTACTAGTGTCTGAGAGTCTGACGGGCAACCCTGTGGAGTTCCAAAGTTTTCTCAGTTGACTGCTTCCTTTAGAGGTCACATGCTCCATGGCTAGGCAATGACAGGTGGCAGGAAGAGATGCCTGCATCAGTAGCAATATCCACAGAGGACAGAAGCATGCTATGGTGACTAGTCTCCATGTCAACTTGATTGCAGTGAGAAACACAGATTAGTAAAGCCCACCTCTTGTTGTGTCTGTGAGGGCATTTCTAGAGACCATTAGATCTTGAGTGGATTATTCTGTTGATAGGTTTATAATACAATAGCATTCTTGGGAAGAGGCAGGGCCTAGTAGGAAGTAGGTCACTGCGGATGTGTCCTTGGGACTATACCTTGCCCTGGCCCATTCCTGTATTCCCTTTCTCTGTCTCCTGTCCACCATGAGGTGAACAGCCTCTTCTATGTGCTCCCAACCGCCATGATTCTGTCTCACCTCAGGCCCAGAATCAAGGGAGTCAATGACTATGAACTGAAATCTCTGAAACATTAATCAAAATAAATTCTCCTTCCTTTAAGTTGTTCTCTAGGTATTTAGTCACAGTGATGATACAACTGACTAAAACACACAAAGTTTTTTAATAGAAATCTGATCAAGCCACTTTTCCCACTTTATTTACAGAATAAAGTTGCATAACCTTGCATACAGGGTCTTTGACTCAGTGCTCTTTTCTGTTTCTGCAGCCTGGTCTCTCCCACCTTGGGCAGCCCCTTCCTCATTGCCCACTACATTAGAGAATCTCTCTCTCTCTCTCTCTCTCTCTCTCTCTCTCTCTCTCTCTCTCCCTGATCATCAGATCTTCCCCAATTTTACCCAACTCATTAAGAATTACCCAATCCTATTCAGGGGCTTCCAGGGCACCTGTGAAATCTCAGATCCCACTCCATATATCAATCTGTTCACATGCCTGCCTCTTCCACTCAACTTAGAGCCGACTCAGGACACTGACTGTACCTTGTGCCTTTCTCCTATCTTAGGATCTGGTACATATGTGCATTCAGTAAGTTGATGAATAAGCAAATTTAGGGGAAATGTGAGAGAAAACAGCATGTCTAATCAGTATGCTGTATCCCTGGAAGGAGGAAGAAACCAAGGATCTTGTTCCA